ATAGTCGGATAATCACTTAATTTTCAGTCGACAAATTATAGTGAATACATCCCCCTCCCCTAAAAAAATGTATAGCGCCGGCACTGCTGAGAGGTACACATCTATATAAAGGTAACTATTAAATTTTTCCTCAAAAAACAGCACATATCCAGATATCCTGAATAGCTGGTTTTGTAGTCTTGTCACGAAATAATTTAAATTTTATAAGTTTTAATTATTCTCAAGAAAAAAATTGCGGACCACAAATTTCTGGAGCCCCCAAAATACCGGCACCCGGGGCAGTTATAGTCAGTGCCCCAACCTAAATGAGGCCCTACCTCATTTTATTTCATATTATACCTATTATAGTTTGAGTATAATAAGTAGATATAATGACATTTTAAAATATTTGTGTTTATTTATAAAAATGTTTTATTTACATTTCCAAATTATCCAGATTTTTTTGCTTTTAAATAACTATATGTATTTATAATCCATACTTTTGTACAATACTTACTGTCAATTAGAAGTCTTCCCAACTTCGCCCGGGTAAGGGTTAGGGAAGTTAATCTATCTTTTTATCGTTTTCTTTTTTGATTCAGTTGAAATACGAATATATGTACAACAAAAATACAACGATTAATTTTATGATTTTCTACTTCTTGATTCTGTACAAATTTTTGATGTAATCACAAAAAACTGAAGACTGATTAAACATATACTTAAAACTTAAAAGCCGATGTAATAAGTATATTAGTATATTATATGGATTAATAAAAAATTAAAACTATATAAACACTAAATACTATTTTTTTTTTTGAATCTGAATAAATGTATAGGTATTCGTTAATATTTTTATATCATGAGCCATGACCGTGGGGACCACGGTTTGCGTTTATAGTTGTGCCACTGATTATTACCATTTACCATAATATAGGTATATGGCTATAATATATAATATTAATATAATATTAGGTAGACTATACATTCGACGTTCGTTAGCCGTACGCGATGACGTGATGTGCAATTGTGCCAGCATGACAAAATAGATCTAAACGATCTATTTTGTCATGTGCGCAGGGCAAGCAACGAATAGTAATAAACCTACTAAATAGTAAATACATTATTATGCATTGTACTATTGTGATCGTTCGCGGCTAACGACGGTCGAAGCGGCACGTATGTGATTATAATAATATGGTCGACAGTCGACACACGTGTACGAGAAATCGGAAACCCGTTTTCCGGGTGGGTACCTATTTTAAGAACACAGGGTCACACACAGGGTGTAGTCATTTTCATATTTGTGTCGATATAATACGAATCCGATGAGGTACAAGGTCGCGAGGGCGTATATTAAAATGTGTATGTACGAATACCAATATAGGTATACCTGCACCGTCCGGGTGTGATCTGCACCCACTTCACCCTTAGCAACATATCATTCCGTGTGAAATCGTATAGGTACGGTATACGTTATTATTGGTTTTATTTTATCAATAAAAATAAAAAACCTAACCTAACACAGTCGGTAAAATCTTTATAAATAATAATAATAATAAGTAATGACAACATTATAGTCTTATATATATAATAATATAATAGTTAACTGTATATATAGGAACTGATTGTGCAATTTTGCAAACTAGACCCAAAAATATATTGTGGTACCTATGTTTGTGAACTTTACTCGCCGAGGTATTATTTTAAACACTCGATTCAGCAATTTATTGTGTGTTAGTACAAAGGATTTCATCGTATACACGCGGGTCGTGTTTACTCTATAAAAGTTTTAAAATTTATTTAACGAAGCAATTTGTCATTAATCATTATAATAGTGGACGGACATCCAGTCCACTGTCCAGCCATCAGCATAATAATTAATAGTACCATCTGTGACTACGTCCTTACGATAAATTCAATTGGTGTCAGTCTGGTGATCTCGTGGGCCATTCAATAGGCCCGCGTCGCCCAATCCACTTGTTGCCTGGATGATGTTCTTGATTTAAAATAATAATCCCTGACAGTAATTGTGTAGTGAGCTGAGGCACCATCTTGTTGAAAAACGATCATTTCTTCGTCCAACTCAGTCGGGTTATCATTATTTTCAATTTCCCGAAAAACTAACGGTTGAATGGTATTTTCAAGAATAGCAAGGTACTTTTCACCAGTTGGGTTGCCTTCCAAAAATATCGGACCGATCACGTCCCCTAAAATACTAGTCCAGCCATTTATTTTACGGGGCGATTGAGTATCTGTGAAGAAAAAATTTAAAGTAATTAATTAATTAGGATTATATAATAATAAATTACAATAATACTGATTTTATTGAACTGATTGCGAACAGTTTTTTTTTTTTTTGGAGCATGTCATTAGATTACCAAGTAAATTAAACCTGTACCAATTATTTCAATTAAAAGTATTAATCAATATTTTACTTAAGTTTAGAGGACCACAGTTAATAAACTAGCTAGTCAAAATTAATGATTTGGGTATTTGATTATTAACATTTTCAAACAAAACAGCTTTTCCAGAATCCATTAAAAAATATAGTGATTAACATTTGAAAAAAAAATTTTGATATCGGTACACACCCGTGTTTAAAAATGTTGAAGTTATTAAAAAAAAATTGCATGTTAAAAATAAAGAATAACCTGTTTTTGTTTTTTTGAAATTAAATATCATCGATCTATAAATTATAATCCTTAAAAAAAACCCGCATACAATGGCATAAGACACACCATATATAGTAGGTATATACTATATATAGGTATTACGATTATAAGATTAATATAAAAATATTGAGAATTCTCAACTTTTGTGAATGAAGCATCGTAATAAAAATCAAAGGTGGACATTAACTAGTTAATTATTTTTGTTTTTAACTTAACATATTCAGTTAAAATGTTTATTGTTGTAACTTAACTTTTTATAGTTAATTATCATTGTCGAGCAGTTAAGTTAATTTTATTTTCGAGTCATGCGTAATGAACTAGGAAATACTGATTCGTCGACTTTTTTACGATTTTGGTAATTCATTTTCGAATTATATATTATAATTTATAATAATTTAATTTTTTACACAGTGTTGAATGTCTTGGTAAATGTTTGTGTATATAAAATACTATGGTAGTTTATGACTTAAAAATATTGTACCTTCAAAAAATGAACCTTTTTTTTAACTGAGATAAGTTAATTTTATTTTCCATCATAGCTTTAAACTTATCTAGTTAAATTTTTTTCTTTGTTAACTTTTAACTTAACTGAAGGCAATTTAATTGAATTAACTTAACTTGCCACAGTTAATTATTTTCATCAACTTACCCACCATTGATAAAAATATGTCGTTTAACCGTTTGCAACGACCTTCCTTCAACTTCTCAACCTTGCTTTTTCCGTCATTATAGTTGCACTATAAATAATATATTAATATGATACATAACACTCCAATCTGCCATCTTGACGTCTTGGTGCTAGAAACTAACAAGTACCAATACGGCCACAATTCTACATTATCTAAAAAAGCAATACCCATATCTATTTTCGACATATGACAATGCAATATAGTTATCATATTATTTCTGAGCTAATATAAACTGCAATTATTCAAAAGTACAAAGCAACAAAATCAAAAAATGAATACTATGTCTGAACTCAAGTGGACAGAGTACAATATTTAAAAAAAACTGCAGAATAAGGATGAGACTTCTAAAAAATAAGTAGAGTTCAGGTTTTATACTTGTATATGATTAAAAGAAGTCCATAACACCAGCGTAGTGCGCAGTTGCACCATAGGTTGTACATTTTGACTCGCTTGACGTGTATAAGGTATACCTATAATATTAATTGGCCTCAAACATAGAATATCAATTGATTATAATTTATAATTTTACAATTTAAAATATTGTCGTGACGTGGCATTGCGAAACAAAACGAATTGTAAACGATGCGATTTGTGTCGTGCTGCACACACGAGATGTGCGGGGATGAGAAAAAGGTCACACGTGTCTACACAGTATATTGTGTACGTATTATAATATATTCTAATATTATTGTTATTAGTACATTTATATGCGCAGTGTCGTCGTGTTTAATATTATTACGTTGTTCCGCCGAACACCTGCAGGGGTTCGCAACGACGGGCATGCCATCACTGACCATGTACCACGGGCGTGGTGGTGGCGGCGGCGGCGACACGCGTTTTTCGACCACTGGCAACGATGGTATTCTTTTATCTACATTCTAGTATTCTACGACCACTCTCAGCAGCAGCTGCCGTTCACCGGTCCTCGAAACAACCCGAACGCCGGTGTTTACAGACTACAAGTTACAACTGCTGAAGTCTGAACTGCCTACTAAGCGGTAAGCGGCGAGTGGCGACCGAAGGGAAAAAAAAAAAATTGTCGTCGCGGCGTTCTGGTGGTGCCGAACTGCCGACCGCAGCTGCCGCTGCTGCTTGAACAGTCGAACCGCATTTACATTTAACCGCGCCGTAGAGTCGCGGCGTCGGATAGAGTGAGCGACCGTACCCCGAGTGGGTGCGTGTGGGTGTGCGACGGAGAGAGAGCGACGTGTGCGCGCGCGTGCAGGCGTGTGCATTATACGTCGCGCCGCGAACGGTGGGTGGGGAGTGGGCGGGGAATAGAGTATAAAAAGAAGAGAGAGAGAAAAGAAAAAACACCACACACACAAGTACACAACCCACCTCTCCCCGTTCATTGATTAAGATTGACATTCCGATTCCGTTGAACGTCAAAATACTTGTGCGAACCATCACCGCCGCCGTCGCTCGTTGTCGAATTCGTTTGTTTGTTTGTAGTTTCGTACATTCGTCGCGTCCGGTACACCCGCACTCCATTGTTTTTATCGTTCGTCGTCGTCGCATGCACCCGCGTATCGGCAGCACGACACCACCCCGTACACGCGCACAGTGCAGTGCACACACGGTGCGGCCAAACATCAGTCGCGTCCATGACAATATCAACGCGATCCGCGCGCACCAACAACGCCGCTGCTTCGTCTCAGTCTCTGTCGCTTTCCGTCGTACCGTAGGGAAACCATTCTCGGCCATATACGCCTGCCGCCCAGCACAGAGCCGTCGCCACTGAACAACCGCCGCCACTGATTACCGTCGAGTCAGCCGCCGCCGCCGCACTGCTCCGCCATGGGACCGAAAATCCTTTGCCTGGCGGTCGTCTGCGTATTTCTCGTGCACAGTGTAAGTAGAAGTACGACGCTTGGCCTGTCCGCGGACAGTGCCCGTGGGCATGGACAGCATTCGTGCATTGACAGGGTAGATTCTGAAAACGGGCTGTCGTCGTCCCCGGTGTCTCCTTTCGATGAGTGCCATCACGGATCGCGACGTCCGTCCGATGAACCGTCCACCATAACGGTTTGTCGTCGAATCGTGTAACCATTATAGTCCCCGTTCTGTAGGTATACGATAATACTTCCCTGGTGCGACCGTTATGCTGTTCATAATACACGTTAAGGCGTAGTCATTTCCTTTAAAATTAAGTAGTTGGGTTACACAGTATGGGTACCTAGGTACAATTTAGAATCATGTTTGGTTTTTCCTATCGTTGCCGAAGGTCAATGATTGAATGTTAATCGAGTAAGTAATTGATGTCTGGTTCATGAAGTGCCCACTCATATGTCTGCAGCAGACAGACATTCTCAATATTATTTCATAAATAATTTTCAATCAATTTTTATGTACCTCTATGCTTGTTATTATTTTCACCATCTGGTTGACCTTTTATCCCTTCATAAAAAGTAATATTCTTCCTACTTGTAGAATACATTTTTCTATACGTACCTACCTAATCATCATTAATTTCATTTAGGCCGAAATCTACCTATGATTTGTTATGTTATTGAAAATATATTGATTAATCAAATAGGTAGATGGGTACTCACTATCGAATGAGAATACCAACACGTTGTATCTTTGATCCATCAACTTAAATAGGTGTATGTATTCAGACATTTATTTCATATTTGTTTCCTAAACAATATTTGTCATCAATAAAGGAAGCCTATTGCATAAGTCTTACCTAATTGCTAAATTAAAAAAATTCTTTGTGTTCGGTAGCAAATCTCTTGTTTTTAAACTTTTGCGTTTGTACCTACGTGGAATGTACCTTTATCTAAAGTAGGTAATCTGTTAATTTGTGTTACCTGCACATTTTTATGAAACTTGATAAAGTAATCAAACATATTTATAATTGGTGCTGTAATTTATTATTATTGTTCAGTAGGTAGGACGTAGGCAGCCACAAAGAGAATTATTGTGTGTCTTAAAGGCATAACTGGTTAAATTATCTAACGTAATATACTAATATATATTCATCAAATAAAAGCTGTCATGAATTCTCGATTGGTACCTACCTACCTCTACGTTTAGTAACTTTTTGTACATTCTTTGTTATCAATGTTATTATTCATTTAAAATAATAATTTGTTGGCAATTAGTTACATACCTAACTGATTGGATCTCAAATTCCTTTTTTTTCCGATAGTAGACACATACAGTACCGATAATAGTTGTTGTTGAAAATAACAACTTTAATTATTAATCAATGCACAATTATGCGGTTGGTTTAATAATAACTTATACTTGTTGAAAACAGTAAACTGCAAACATCATTGTTTTAACTTTTGTTTAGCAGGAGTAGGTAATTATTATAAATATTTAATTATTTTTACGTAGGTACCTACATTATACTAAATTGAGGTTAATCTCAAAGTTAAATTTATATTTCCATTTATAACCTTTAATTATTAATATTTAAGTAGCTTATTTTAAATTTATATCTAAGGTAGTCATGCATTATAAACTCGCCATCATCGAAATCAATAACTTAAATTTATCCTCCCACCTAGTGACTTCCATTTTTATTGTTTTATATAAGTGATAACTATTATATAGGTACCATTAAAAAAATTATGCTATGTCATACTATATAGGTATACTCCGTTGGCTCATTACGTATTGTTATACCATTAAAAAAATAAGGAAATCCGTTTATAAAATGTATAAAATACCTATAGGTATATATTAACATTTTTAAATTTACCTATGTTATAACGAGAAACACTATGACGTACATAATGATTAGTTCTGTTGTGAAATAAATAGAATATGTTAACTTTGGATGCATATCTTTTGCTATTATGTTAAACGGCTATTATTAGATTACCTGTAAACATTAAATACCTCTTGTGTTATTGCGAATAGTACAAAAAAAATGTTTATTAAATTCATGATATATGAAGTAATTAAAGTTATGATCTTATTTATAAGAGTAAAAAAGTCACAGACACAGACTGAATGTTTTTTCGTCTAATTATATTTATATAATACCTAGGAAATGCCGTTAAGATAACGATCATGATAAATTTTGATTTTGCTATACCTATTATACATTTATATTTAACCTCGGTGATATGCAACAGTAATATCAAACGATAAAAGTCGCTTGGTGTGGAGATAAATATAATTGTAAGCAATTGATTTCGTTCGGTGGCGAGGTCATAAGGCCCCGTGTACCATATTTATTTTCAAAATGTATGATGAGTAATCAATAAGTACTGAATAAAACCATGTTTTGTTTTTTTTCATAGGTGCTTGCACAGTCTAATAAAAATGTTTCTGCTACTAAACCAGTAAAAGGATTTAAAGATGAATTATTTATTGATGATGAATCTGATAATGCAGATGATGGTAATAACGATAAACTCGAACCTGATGATATGATGCTAGGTGAAGAAGGTAGTGGTATGGCCCCATCAAAAGGAACTGGGGCTGAAGACATGGAATCTAGTGGTTCCGGTTATGGGCCTGATGATGAGGATGCACAAGTTGTTGGTAAAAACAAAGGTAAAGCAGGAGTTGATTCTGAGGAAGATGAAGACGATATGGATGAAGGCGATGATGAAGATGAAGATGACAGTGAAGATTTTGATACAGAAAAGTCACAAAAGGTGTTTACTCCTGTAACTACTGCATCAACTACGACTACAACAGTTAAGAGTCTCGATGAAGAATCTAATTTCCCCGAAGAGGTACGTCTGTTTATATTTCTATTTTATTCATCTTCTGCCCTTTTGCCCTCATATACATGAACCATCATTATTCTTGTTCAACCTCTACCTAGACATCCTGGGACTACTATCTGTTACACTTATACCACTCGAGTAGGTAGCATACAGGAAGTATTTCTTTTATAAAAGTTTTTCGCAGCTTACAAAATCTGGGAAGGCTGTGTTATTTTGTTTGTTGGGTGGAAAAAATTTCCATTTTCCCATGTCAGTGTAATTATTTCGTCAACATATTACTAGGGTTACTAGATAGTAGATAATATTAAATTGGTTTTAAATTGCTGCTTAGGCGTTTATTAAAATAGTTTAGTTATTGACTTATATTTATATACAAATTATTTAGGTTAATTCTTATCTCTAAATTAATTAATCATGCTTGGTTGAAATAAAAATCTATTCAATTTAATCACCATGAACTTTAAATGGACTAATTATGGCCTATGTGTTACTAATTGATATTAAGGGGGACTGTTAAATATTTAAAAATTAATGTAACTTATAGAATATAGTGCAAATTGTATTTTAATTAACAATAAATTACAAAATATTTAAGTAAGTACCCACCATAACTGAAAATCTAAAATATCACCTATGTATGGTATTCAATATTTATATGTGTTTTGAACCAATTTTTATATGACGATTTTGCCTAATGCCCTCCTGCTATAAATTATTTATGAACCATCCGAGGAACCATTTAATCATATGATAAGTTAACGTCTTTATTTCTCTACCAAATTGAGTCACAGTACAATTTATTGAATCTCTTTTTCATTAATTGTCTTAGTATTTTGTAGTTGTATCTTAAGTGTTAGAAATAACATCAAAGTAATTTTATTAATATATGTTAAAATTATTTTTTATTTGTATAATTTATAATATTAGACTTTCTATACCTACTTCAATTAAATAATTATTAGTTAATTAAACTATAATAATATACACTAACTAGTAATTAAGAATTGATGGACAATTATCATTAAATTTATTCTATTCATTTAATTTAAAAATGCATAAACTTATTGTAGTTCACAACAGTTGTGTATGCACATATATTAATCTAACAAAAATACTATTAAAATGATAACTTAATCCTTTTTATATATGTTCAATACGAGGTGAAACATTAAGATAGTGTTATGTATAAACTTCATAAACTCACATTTATAATTTTAGTTATATATTTATTTAGTTAGTAGACTATTGTTTGATTAGGAATTAGGATAAAGTGTGCAAGTTTGTCATCTAGATAACATTTATCTGATGGATACTAGATATTATTATGTATAGAATACATTTTTAAGCTATTATTCATCTATATTTATTATCTTATATTATAAAATATTAATGTTCGTATAATTCATTATAAGTAAATTATTAAATTATTTCACAATCATTGAACCAAACAATTTTAATTGAAAGCAATTGCATTTTGTTTAAAAGTGCTTCATAAAATATTTTTAAAGGCATTTATGATTTAGTAGTTTACTGTTCCTGTGAATATCTTAATATTATGTTCTATGACTGAGTTATATTTGTTTGTTATTGTTATAACTTAGTGTTGTATGTAGCACTTTTAGTTGATATGAATTTCCGGGAAGTTTGATTACCACATATTGTAGGTTTATTTTTTTTTACCTTCACAATGCTTACCTCTATAAATCCATTGCCATTGGGAACTTTTAATACTAATATGTTGCATGTTAGACTCACCTGATGAATTGCATATTTCTACTAATTTTGCATTGCTAATCTGAAATTTATTTTTTATTTTTTTGAGGGCAGCAAAACAGTATACCTATGTTAGCAAGTTATACTATATTTTAACCGACATTGCAATTTGCTGTTCTTTATATCTTGTTGACTGTACTTCTAAGTGGTATATCAAAATAATTTGACCATTTTACATCGATAATACCTTTGAAAACACCCACAGCCCTTTTGATACATTATAAAATGTACCAAATAAATAAAGTAGAAGTAGTTATGCTTTATGATGGACTATTGTAAACCTTTTATAATAATACATATCACATTTTTACAGTCATTAGTCATAACAAACAACTGTATTCACTGTGTATAAATATAATTTATTTTCCTATATTTTTTTTTAATGGACATTGAGGGTTGATGACTCATTTAATTATACACTTAATCTACATATTATTTTTGCTTTTGATGATAATAAACATTTTATTAATATTGTCTGATATAGCATATTATTAGACTCTAATAATACTGTAAGTAGATAAAGAAATATGTGTTTATTACCATACAAGTTATATGACATACGAATAGTGTATGGACCTTATGATCTGTTTGATTCAATATTCTTTTCCATCTTTACTGCACTACTTCACATTTTTTTAAATTAATATTTTATAAACATAAAATATAAAATTATTTTTCATTTCTATGGCCAAAATAGGTTCAAACTGTAATTATGGGTTAGTGCACTGTTTATAGTATATTTAAACATATTTGAAAGATTTTTAGAAATAAAACAATTAAGATAGTTTTAATATTTGATTCATATTTATACTTTTATTTTAGCCTAAACAAAACATTGATGATGTCAATCTGGCACCTAGTGTACCTAGTGTACCTGAAGTACCTCAGACTACATCTACATCTACTCTTCCACCACCTCCTTCCAACGCTATTGATGAACATTCTAGCAGTAATGGAGTCTATATAAGTCCAAACAGTCATCCTGAGCGAACATCTTCATTTTTCGCACAACCTGGCATACTTGCAGGTAATAATAAAAAAAAATAACAATTGTTATAATAAATAATCATAAAACAACTCTTAATTGTAATTATCTAACAATATACATATGTTTCAGCTGTTATTGGAGGTGCCGTTGTGGGATTGTTATGCGCAATTCTAGTGGTCATGTTCATTGTATACAGGATGCGTAAAAAGGACGAGGGTTCTTATCCCTTAGAAGAAACTAAACGTTCACCAGCTACAAATCCATACCTAAAATCTTCACATCGCGAATTTTATGCATGAGTACATTCGTAAATTGATTTTTACTCGAGCCTATGAACATAGTATACGTTATAATAATAATATTGTTTTATCACCTCCTTCCCCGTAAGACCATTCAACTATTCCAAAGGCAGCTATATGACTTCTAGTCAAAAAAACATTTATTTATATAAATGATAAATAGAGTTTCATTATAAATTATTGATCTTTTAAAACACAAAAATATTATTTTAATCTACCATTACTCTCCTTAAGAAATTGTACAAAAAAAATTTTATTTTCTTATATTTTGGATTAGTCAGATTATTATTGTCACCTATAGTGCAACTAAGTTAAGATGACCAGTCACACAGTAAAGAGGAGATTATTTTAAATCCGCCGACCCAACAGTCGGAAAATGGTCTACAAGTCAGATGCTTCATGTTATTGGACCTGACCGAAACAAACATGACCAGGCAACCAACATATTAGGCCACCTGGTCATCTTAACTTGATTGCACTATACCTATTTGTCTTCCGTGATCCCCTTTTAATGTTAAATATATATAAAATGTTAATATTAATTGGCTGCATCTATACCAAACTGGTGACTTTTAAATCATATCATTGTCATATTGGTTTTTAATGACAACCTCGGAGGCTGGCATCCGTTTTTAATTTATGTAGTTTCTCGAATATAGAGAACAAGCCTAATATTAAGATCATAAAATGCCAATTGATTTAAAAACATAATAACCAGTTTGGTTTGGCCTGCTTTATATTATTAATTAAAATGTACTGATAATTGCAAATCAATTTAAATTAAATTATACTATTATTTGTTGAAATTAATTTTTGTTAAGTATAAATATTAGGCAGTATTAAGTGGAATTATAATGGTTCATTAAACTATAAGACCAATATTAAGAAGAATAAATTGAAGATAATAAAGATTGTGTAGTCTTTAATTTAAAGACTTAAAACAATGTAGAACCTTAGCCAACTTAAATAAGTGCCATCTTTTTGTTGGACCTCCCTTCTGTTCGTATATTTTGAAGTGTTTTCCAATTTAAACACTTTGTACATAATATTTAGGCATAACAAATTATTATTATTTTTATTATTATTAGTTATAATTTATAGTTTTCCAATATTTTTTATTTTATAATAATTATAATTATTTAGTCTAGCATGGAACTAATTTATAACGATTATACTTTTCCCTGTTGCGTTTTTTGTACATTCGTAATTATACTGGTATAATAATATAAACTTATGCTGCCTAGAGATAATAAAAAAAAAAAGATAGCTAAACATCTTCTTTAACTCGGTAAATTAATATATATAAATATATATATAACTCGTTTATTATTGAAAGATATTAAGTATAATACTACTGTAATTTTTTTTATTTATTTAACCTATTCATAACAATTTTATTATTTATATATTTGATTAAGTTTTATAACATCATTTGTTTTAAATATTGAGCGTTTTGCAATAATGTTCAAACATCATCAAGCTCTGTACAAGAGTATTATTTTTACTTGTTTATACCATTTTATGTAAACATAATATACACAATATATTATACTCGATGATTATTCGTAAGAAATTTTTATTTGATTTGTTTATGTTTACATTTTTACTCACGAGACTTGGGTCCTTGTAAATCAAAATTTTATTTTAAAATGTATATACCCCACTCCCACCACTAAGAAAAAAAATACTCTTAATTTCCTTATTTACATCTGACAAAAATGTTGTATTTTTTTTTTTTATATTGACTTCTTTGAAAATATTTCCAATTTCCAGTAGTATAATTTATGTATCCATTGTTTATGTTAAATATGCAAAATTAAATAGTATGATCTATTCTCGGTAACTCAAATTTAGATAAATTAAAACTATTGTTATCTTAACAAGAAATTATATAATTTTTAGGCTTGACACTATTCAACCTGCCTTTAATGCTAATGTTTTTTTCGTTTACTTGGAAATCTTTCAAATTTATATTATTTGAACCTAAAGTTTCTTTGGGTCGATTATATACAAAAAATATTTAAAATGGCAATAAACAAAACCAAATGTAAACTCGATAGTATAAAAAAAATGTACCAGTATTTTTTATTTTTTTTCAATTATTGTAACAATAGATTGAACCTTACACTTCATCTTGTTAAATTGTATATCATTTTTTGTTTGCCAATTATTTTGTTAAAGACACTTTTTGTCCATTGAAATTTTTCAGTATTACCTAGTTATAGACTATAGTTATAAATAATATTTTTTAACCATTTCTTTTTTGTATTATTTTTATTGAGCTTTCCTCTCTTCATATACAAACTTGAACTATAAATAAAATGAACCGTTAATTTTTGTATTTTATCGTCGTACATGTGAAATGATTTTTAGTATTTGTCGATTGTATGTTCTGTACAAACTGTGTGCCAAACCATTATTTCATGATTTTTCAACATCCTAAATAATCAGCCAATTTTCCTCGGCTAAATTAACCCATTTCAGATATAAATCTCTCCATTTTCTCTCAATTTCTTATCTAGGCAAGTTTTTGAAATTTCAAAACTAATTTTAATTTCATCTTTATCAATTCTAACAAAAGACAGTATTTTGTCGATACCCCTTGTTCATTATTTGCCACTCATCAATTATTCAATTTTTCATTCATTTTTTACTGAACGTACCAAAAAATATGAACATTTCATACAAAAATATTCAAAACAATTGTCATTTGAGTTATCTTCATTTTATCTATTATAACAGTTCAAAAATATCCTTTTTTTTATCCTGATAACCCCAATAACTTGTTAGATTTTACCTATTCTTTTTAAACGTAAGCCAAAATGCCCGGGACTGTAATACATTAAAACGCAATATATACAACAACACATACACAAAAAACAATAGTAATTGTAAAATCGCAATATGCCTATTGGTCGTTCCGTTCGGAATCCAAAAACCTTATATAGGTATACCTACAAAAGTATAAAACAAGTTTATACAACAATCTTATGCAGATCGATATTATATATCCGCGTTAAAATATTATAATACAATATTATAGTATACCTCTGAGTAAGTTGATGTACCAATAATAATGCGTTTGGAAAAATAAACGGGCTCGAAATCCAGCCGATGCCGGTCGATTAATAATGTGATGGCGTACTCGCTGGCTACTAATAAATGATGTTTGTTTTAAATCATCGTCGTCGGCCCAGGAAGGAATTCGGAATCTGCACATTTGCAATTCTGATACCTATACCGGTCCTACGACTTTGCAAGAATTGTCGGCGGGTTGAATGACGTTGTACCGAACGTAGTCGTCGCCCTCGAAGCGTGTCGCATAGAACAAGTCCCTCTTAATCCCCGATGGTCGATGTCGTCGAATCTGCTCAGTTCTTCTTCCATCACTTCGTATTCGGTGACGACGTATGGTGGTCGCGCCGACGGTGTAGGAAAAGGAAGGAAGGAAGTGGGGATGCGAGGGACGCCACGACAGCCAGGGGACTAGAAGTCAGAAATAGTTTTGGAAACTTGATGGGTTGGCTGGCCCCGGGCGTCAAAACAGAAATACGCGCAGTGGAACGGCGAGAGTTGTCTCCTCTGCGTATGCAGGAGAGGGATAACGAAAGCCGCAAACGTGTTGTGTTGTTGTCCCCCGAAGTGAAACCGTCCGAAGTTTCCCCCCAGGACGAGGGCAGCGGACAAGGCGAGACGACGTGGGGTCAAGGTAATAGGTACGTGACGGTGCACATTTAGGTGGTAATCGGCGGTAAGTCACCGTACACGTTCTCTGGCCATCCTTGCGGTAGCGCGACGGGATCGCGGACGTTGCGAGCTCGAGATCGCCGAGACCCCGAGAACCTCCGATAGCATCGCGTTGCGATACTATCCGCAGATTCCCTACCCTTTTCGCCCAGTGGTCTGATCCCGCGCAGGCCTTCTATTACACAGTGCTCGAATTAGGAAAAATTCAGTAGAGGCGCTCAATCCAACGATTTAATAACTGCGTTTCAAGGCAGCAATTATTCAACATAGACCATACTAAAAATAGTAGGGGAGCTCCGTCCTTTTCGAATGAAAACAAAGTTTGGTATTAAAGCACCATACGATTTTAGTTCAACATATTATATAAAGAATTAATGATGTTATAAATTCGGACGTTCCAAGACAAATGTTAACTTAAAAAACAGTTATAAAAGATGAAAAATATGGTTATCTTGAGTATAAATAACGATTTATTGAGTAGCTATACCTACTTGATTTCCAGATATTTTAAGAGCTTGCATCATTTTTCTTATTATGCCAGCAATCACTGTGGCAGGAACAGAACAATCATTTTCCAAATTAAAATTAATAAAAGATTAGTTAAGAAACGCATGTGGCCGGGTGCGAACTAAAAATTTAAATATTGAGAAAATAATTGGCAATTTTGTCAAAGCAAAATCGAGAAAAGATATTTCTTATAATAGAATATCTTAGATATTTGTGTGGGTAAAAATGATATTAAATAAATAATTTATTATTTAAGATAACTCTTAAAAATTAGTGCGGCATTTAGACATTTTGCGCCCCAATGCAAAAAAAAATTGGAGCCCCTATAAGCCCCGGTGAAAAAAAAATTGCTCCCCCTAAGGGGCCTACCCACGGATAATATGGGAGAGAGTTCTTCATTAACCTTTTAGATTTTGAGCACAGAAAAGAATATTTGATTTACAAAGTGTGCTTTTTTTTAAAAATATTGTTTAGTAATTACTTGATCCTCTCTCCGCAAAGATACATTTGAATTTATGTCACTTAAACCTTGCTTATAATTCATCGTATAAGTTGTTTTTTTTAAACATATTTAAGTAGGTTGTAGGTACCTACTTTCTGAATAAATAAAATAAAATTATATAAAACTGTATATGTATCTGGATTAAATTCTAGATTATAAATATAAAGAATTTTAATGTTATCAAGAAGAAGATACAATAGGCTGGCCATGCTTGGAGGAACCAAAATCCGCCTCTATATGCAGT